GCCGGCCGGCCGCTCATACTCAGAAATTTCCGTTAATCTAAGGAAAGACTCCGCCAGTGGCGGCGGAAGGTAATTTGGGATGGGGGGGGCACCGCTGGCGGATCCAGGGCTTGGGCGCGGGAGGGGGCTACGGAGACAAACATAGGGTACCCCCAAATCCTGTTTTCTCATCGGATTTAGGCCACTTACTTTTCGTCACAGCCCTGATACGATATTTTTTTAAATATATATTTTTTTTCAATAAATGGTAGGCCACCTGACACCACTGGCGGATCCAGGGGGGGGGGGCATTTGGGGCAACTACCCCCGCGTCGCCCGAAATCCAGGATATTTTGAGGCTTTTCGAGAATATAGCGAAAGCTAAACTTTTATTCGCCAGAGACCAGACAAACGTGTATCACATACACCCATGCACTGCATCACATACACTAAAGTGACGCGGAGCAGCCATCAACTACCATGCCCCGAACACTGGCACTCTTTTCTGGGGATGGTTGCGCACGAACTCTGATAGGATGAGCTCAGGGTCCAGACCTTTCGCTATATCCTCATGGAGGCTTAGAAGCATGAGGCTGCACAGTCGCTTCTGGCCGATTGTGGAGCGCAAGTCGGTTTTGATTCTGCGCAAAGTTGAGAACGATCTTTCAGCTGTCGCTGCGGACATCGGCACAGTCATGATGAGTTGCGCTAGTTTAAGTACCTCGCTGACCATCCCCTTCACCACCTCACCCTTTCCAAAGAAAGTCTCACATAGTTCGGCAACCGAACCAGTCTCATTGCGGAGAAGTCCACTAGCGTGAGCACACCTCAGCTGGGCCACTAGCAGGTCAGCGTCGATATCCGCGGTCTTGTCCACTCCGGTTTTCTCGCCAAATACACCGAGCGCTGACCTAGCGCTCTCCGGTGTGATGGCCACATCGCTCATGAGTTTTTCCAGGTCTTCAAGTTTCTTCAGATCTGGCTGATCAAAGCGCCGTTCAAGCTCGTTGGCGACGATATCCACAGTCTCAAAATACTGTCGACGCAGCGAAGACTTGGCATCTAACGCGGCTCCACGCGCGGCATCAGAGCACTGCTCCAATCGTTTCGGTGGACGGGTCACCCGAGGAGCTCTCGGCCGGTCGATGTCAGTTTTCATACTCGCCACGCGAGCCTCCGTAGCTTCGTATAGCTCAGCGAAGGACTCGTCCGTCCTCAGGTGCTGTATCTTCCTCAGAAGTAGTGTGTATCCCTGTAGCACTTCGCCGGCTGAAATGCCGGGCTTCTGCAGAGTTTTGGCAAAGAGCTCAGTGGGAGTGAAAACAGTTTCACAAACGCCCATGCCAAAGACAGTTTCAAAGCGCTTGAGGTGGCTTATTTGTCCCCTTGCCTTGCTTGCGGAGTCCGGAGGCACGCCTCTGTCCTCTGACACATCATACAGCGCGTCCACGACACAGTCATAGAGTTCCAGGAAGCGTGTAAAAGCCGCAGTTCGTACGGTCCAGCGCGTGGGGCACAGCGCCAGGAGTGTGCGCACAGGACCACGAGTGCCGGCCGCCGAGTCCGAGACAGACTGGGAGCTATGGGTGCCGGGATCGCCTGTAGTGCTTTCACGGCTTTCGAGCACGTACTGTTTCAAAACGTTTTTACGTTTAGCAGTGTTCAGGGCACTGGACACATCACGAACAAGATTCATGACATCTGCTACGAGAGGCACGTGTTTGGCTAGCTCGACTAGAACAAGGTCAAGCGAATGGTTCGCACAGTGCACGTACAGGGACTTAGGCTGCACTTCAGCGACACGCGCACGGACACCAGATACACGCCCGGACATATTACTTGCGCCATCGAAACAGTGGCCACGAAGCTTATCGACACTGCCGATGAGCCTCTGTATAACGTCCAGGGTCACTTTGAAAAGCACTTCAGCTCCAGAGCTTGGAGCGTCATAGAGACCTAGACACACTTCTCGGGGCCTCAGATCGTCATCGACATACCTCATACACATCGACACTTGTTCACAAGCCGCGACGTCCGTTGTACCGTCGACGATGATGGAGAAGAACGGCGCTTTCTTGATCTCTTCCACGAGCTGGTGCTGAATCATCCTTGCCATTATGTCCAGCAGCTCATCTTGGCAGTCATGATGCAGGAAGTTCGTCTTCTTTTTTATCCAACGGCGCATGTCCTCGTCCGTGGCAGCGCTCTCATCCAAAAGAATCGACAAGTTCCCATCGGAGCTGCTGTGGCCACGGAATGCCACGCCACATCGACCGAGACCACGCAGCAGGCATATGATCTTCTTATATAAGGCTCTGTTTTTCTCCTGCTCTCTTTTTTGTGCATCACAGGCAACGGCGTCAACAGGCACGCTACGAGACAAAACCAACTTTTCTGCTGCCTTCAGATGTGCCTCAGATTTTGCGTGAGCTGCAAACCTGTCTAGAGCCTTCTTCCAGTTCCTAAAACCGTTGAGGAATGCCACCTCTCGGAAGTCAGACTTGCGCATCAGGTCCTTCCCCACAGCAGAACAACAGCTCCGACAGGTTACACACCCCCGATCACCATGATACTCCAGAAAGGGGTATTTACTCATCCATTTTGAACGGAATTGTCTGCCACCGGACAACCTACTTGAGGGCATGACTGATGGGGTGTCACAAGCAACACTGGGTTCAGTGGGAGAGTCACTGGTATGACGTGCAGGGTCACTGCTGCCGGCCAGCCCGGCGGACACAGGAGTAGGAGCGGCAGCTGCCCGGCTGGTGCTTGGTTCGACGGCATGGCGTGCAGGGTCACTGCTGCCGGCCAGCCCGGCGGACACAGGAGTAGGAGCGGCAGCTGCCCGGCTGGTGCTTGGTTCGACGGCATGGCGTGCAGGGTCACTGCTGCCGGCCAGCCCGGCGGACACAGGAGTAGGAGCGGCAGCTGCCCGGCTGGTGCTTGGTTCGACGGCATGGCGTGCAGGGTCACTGCTGCCGGCCAGCCCGGCGGACACAGGAGTAGGAGCGGCAGCTGCCCGGCTGGTGCTTGGTTCGACGGCATGGCGTGCAGGGTCACTGCTGCCGGCCAGCCCGGCGGACACAGGAGTAGGAGCGGCAGCTGCCCGGCTGGTGCTTGGTTCGACGGCATGGCGTTCAGGGTCACTGCTGCCGGCCAGCTCGGCGGAGACAGGAGTATGGGTGGCACCTATAAAGGATTTAGCCGTATAAGTGTGGTACAAGAATAAAATGGCTGAGAAAAAACTCAACTGGACAGATTCTGTCATTGGACTCCAATGATACCGGCACAATACAGTGCAAATACAAGATGTGTGCCTAAAATAATCCACAAACGGGATGTTGGAAAGTGAGCTTGAATTAGTCAAATGAGCGGAAGGTACCCTACTTTGATAACTGATTAAACAACTCTGCTTTTGCCATTGGATAAAAATCAGCCAGCGCAAACAAGCACCCCAAGCTGTTGAAGAAAGATCGACTCATCAAGCACATCCCATTGGCATACACAGAATGCACACCACTGACCTATATTGAAATAGACCAACAAGGCTGGTCAGGGTCAACAAGCTCATCTGGGCAAAAACTGATTTGATGCACATCACAGAATACAAGATGAAGCAGCATCTGAAATACTACTTCAATATTTGATTGTGATATATTCTTAACGGGGACACATGCTGACACAGTGAGACCATGTTCAATCCAGTTGGAGAGGTACATATGAGTATATGAGGACAGTATTATATGATAACCTAAAACACTTAAACTTGTATGAAATGTATTAATCATTGACAGATTGCTATTGATCTTCACAAAACCACATTGATTTTTCACAGGCAGTCTGGGGTGTGTAATTTAATTAGGACTAGCATACCTGTCTGGTTAGGAGCAAGGTCAGGAAGCCCAGTGTTGCCATCTCTGCTGGAACCAGGCTCAGGATCTTGGTGGCTAAGGCAGTTGAAAATATTGTGTGTTAGCGAAGTAAAGCAAGCATCCCAGACATGAGACACTTCAATGAAGTGAAATTAATTCTAATTACAAGCTATTGGCTGAACCTTGTCTTGCAGGAAAATAAAGTTAATTTATTTATCATTTCTAAAAGCATATACATCAAGATGAGTCATTGAAACTTGACAGCAACTGCATGAACAGTGTTCTAATTGGATTAATAACTATGTGGAAGTACTGATCACTAGGGTTTCTGCAATAAGCCATCCACTCACCTCCGCTTCCTTTTGAAAAAGCCCAACAGTGAGCTCTGACGCTTCATAACTTATCAGTTCTCACAACTAAATATAATAAACTTAGTATCAAGCTGTGGAAACCAACAGTAATCAGGTCGGTTGGCAGCTGAACATAGTTTTACAAACTCCTGTAATTACAGAAAACCACAATCATTAGGGGAGAGTGGGGCAAGACGCCCCCTCGGGTAAGACGCCCACTACCCCTTAGCTGCAACAACAACAGTTGTAAAGTATTTTTTATAGTTTTTGTTTGAAGCAGAAGCCAGGATTGTTTACTCCCAAAAAAAATCGTGCCGCTCCGCTGGAATTCACGTCGTGGGTGAGCATTATTGCATTTTATGCTGTTTTTTTAGATTAAATGTGCCTTTGAAAAACGGCAATTATTTCCATAATTCCGCGAGTACGTGAAATTTGTTATTTTCCGGCGAAATTTAGTACATTTCGCTCATAAAAAAACACTGCAAAACAGTGCGTCATGATCGCCGGATTTTTTAGTCGGATCATTTGCGCCACCGGAAGCTGGTGTGTAAGATGCCCATAATGGGTGCGGGGAAAGAGGCTCCCGGGGCGTCTTACCCCAATGCAGGTGGGCATCTTACCCCTTCAAAGAAATTGTCGTTTCGTCATTGCTAATATCGTATTCTGACTTTAATTACAGGCTCCTTACTATGAGGACTAGGAAAAGGACAACTGCGCGAGCCTCGTATGGGCAGGTGTCACTCAGAAATGCGCTGAGAGCCGTTCAATCAGGAATGACGCTGTACATACAAGGCATCAAAGGAATGGGGCGTGCCCAGAAAGACTCTGCGACGCCACCGGGACGGCAAAGTTCAAATCCCTGGGCACCTTGGGAGGGGTACGGATATACCTCTGTCCCTCGAAAATGTCCTGGTAGGGAAGATAAAGGAAATGGAGAGGCTCCTGTTCGGCCTGACGGCAGAGAATGTCCGGATGATCGCGTATGAGTTCGCAAAGAAGATGGGCCTGAAGACACGCTTTTCCAAAGACTCACGTATGGCTGGCAAGGACTGGCTGCAGGGTTTTTTGAAGAGACACCCTGATCTTTCTATCAGGAGTCCGGAGGCCACAAGTATGGCCAGGGCCGTCGGTTTTAATCGGCCTCAAGTTGAGCGGTTCTTCACCATCTACAAGGAAGTTCTCGACGCGGATAACTACGGTCCGGCGAAGGTGTGGAACATGGATGAAACGGGAATATCCACAGTGCAGACACCTGGAAAGATCGTAGCCTCGAAGGGAGTGAAGCGGGTGGGCAAGATCACGAGTGCAGAGCGGGGGAAGTTGGTCACAGTGCTGTGCGCGGCAAACGCCGCGGGAGGCTACCTGCCCCCTCTCCTTGTCTTCGGCCGAACGAGGATGGTCGGAAGTCTCATGAACGGGGCACCACCGGGCTCCGTTGGAACCTGCACCAAATCAGGCTGGACAGATCGAGAAGTGTTCCTCCAGTGGTTCCAGCACTTCTTGAAGTCAGTGAAACCACGGGTTGAGGAAAAGCACATCCTCATTTTAGACGGCCACCATAGCCACAAATCTATCGAGGTGATCGACCTGGCGCGAGAGCACGGCGTGACGATCATAACGCTCCCACCACATTCATCGCACAGTATGCAGCCATTGGATGTGGGGGTGTTCAAAGCTATTAAGAGCAGCTATAACAGCGCCGCCGACAGCTGGATGAGGGCCCATCCCGGCAGACGCGTGACGGAGTACGAGGTCGCACAGATCTTTGGCACCGCCTACACCAGGGCAGCGACGATGGAGCGAGCTATCAATGGCTTCAGAGCGTCTGGTATCTGGCCGTGCGAAATGCTCTTCACAGAAGAGGATTTCGCACCAGCGGGTCTCACAGAGGAAGAGCCAGATGAAAATCCAATGGTGGATGGCTTCAGGCCCCGCGGGGAGCGCACGACAGTGCCGCCCGAGCGCGATGGAGGAGCCGGTCCCAGCGGCGTGGCGGTGCCGTCCGCTGACGGTAGAGGAGCCGGTCCCAGCGGCGTGGCAGCGCCGCGCACTGACGGTAGAGGAGCCGGTCCCAGCGGCGTGGCAGCGCCACGCACTGATGGTGGAGGAGCCGGTCCCAGCGGCGTGGCGGCGCCGCCTCCTGATGGTGGAGGAGCCGGGCCCAGCGGCGTGGCGGCGCCGCCCCCTGATGGTGGAGGAGCCGGGCCCAGCGGCGTGGCGGCGCCGTCCACTGATGGTGGAGGAGCCGGACCCAGCGGCGTGGCGGCGCCGCCCGCTGGTGGTGGAGGAGCCGGGCCCAGCGGCGTGGCGGCGCCGCCCCCTGATGGTGGAGGAGCCGGGCCCAGCGGCGTGGCGGCGCCGTCCACTGATGGTGGAGGAGCCGGGCCCAGCGGCGTGGCGGCGCCGCGCACTGATGGTGGAGGAGCCGGACCCAGCGGCGTGGCGGCGCCGCCCGCTGGTGGTGGAGGAGCCGGGCCCAGCGGCGTGGCGGCGCCGCGCACTGATGGTGGAGGAGCTGGTCCCAGCGGCGTGGCGGCGCCGCCCGCTGGTGGTGGAGGAGCCGGGCCCAGCGGCGTGGCGGCGCCGCGCACTGATGGTGGAGGAGCCGGACCCAGCGGCGTGGCGGCGCCGCCCGCTGATGGTGAAGGAGTCGGGCCCAGCGGCGTGGCGGCGCCGCCCGCTGATGGTGAGGCCGCTGCCGCTGCCGGTGTATGCGCCGGTAGCACGCTGAACTTGCTATGCCCAACTCCTCACGGGCCGAAAAGGAAGAGGTCGCGAAGGGCGGAGCGGGCAGCCGTTTTAACTTCTTCGCCACTGAAAAGGATGCTCGAGTGCACACAAAGAAAAACGGCCAGAAAGGGGAAGAACACAGGGCGACTAAAGGCTAAGAAAGAAGCAAACTCCGGAAGCATGGCTGCAGATAAAGACAGTGATGTCAACTGTATCATCTGTGGGATGCGTTTTGTAAGGTCGTGTGAGGAATGGATTCAGTGCGGGAGGTGCTCAGGATGGGCGTGTGTGCCCTGCACAGATGCAAATGACGTGAGGGAAAGTTACACGTGTGACTTCTGCCGCAACTGAGCGGCGCGACTACGGGTATCGGATCGTGACGCGAACCGGTCACAAAACCGGGGCTTGCCCCATTATAGTTGCAGCTTTGATGCCTCAGTCTGGCATGTCATATGGAGTTTCTTACGCTGAAGACATGGGCTTATGTTCAGCAGGGAGGTCCGGTACTTGACTCAAACGCAGTTTGTTTTTACATTTGTTCAATACAAGAACGATGTTTATAAAACTATCTATTGCGAGATCGTCCGATGTATCAGCGCCATATGCAGATATATTGCCTATAAGCTGATTTAATATGTCATTTCAGTCGTTGGTAAATGATCAAAGTCCTGCCAAATTGCGTACTTCACACAGTAGCAATACGTTTTCCTGCCCCAGCACATCAAAACATAAATTTCACCACTGTGGGTTAAGACGCCCTCATTATGTGCATCTTACCCCTATAGAGTGGGCATCTTACCCGCCCACGGGGTAAGATGCTCGAAATGACTTGTTCGAGAAAAACGTTAATTGCTTAACACATTTAGAATAGACTGGACTTATGTGCGATGCATTAAGTGGTAAATTGAATGTGCTTCCAGAAAATCTTTTACTTAGAGATCTGTGCCTTCATACTTATCCGTGAAAACAGTTTTTCCTTAACGGGGGCGACTTGCCCCACTCTCCCCTACAAACAAAAAACAAAGTTACTATGAAAGTTTGAGCAGGCATATTGGCCACGAATTTATCCCTGGAATAGCCTGACAGATAATGCAACTCTGGATTAACAAATTAATTCAAGAAATGATTGGACAGACATTAGAAACACAAAATGTTAACTATGAATTGAAACTCAGAATTTAACTGATGAATAAGTCAATTGAGTGGGAAACCCAAACACTTTCTGAACCTATCTTTTCCCCAATTCTAGCATATCCAGTACCAGAGAGGCATAAGCATGAGAGAACTTTAGACACATACGAAAAGATAAAAAAAACAAAGGAGTTGGACTAAAGACCACCTGTGGGCATGCCCACAAAATGAGAATTAAAATCGCACAATAGGTATTGCTCTTGATCCATGTAAAACCTAAAAGTAAAATTGGGGGAAAGCAAACCACGCACGAACAACATTATGAAACACCATAGACATGTGAATTCCACTTTTGGCCTCAGGTTTAAAAAGTTTTCCTTGAACCTTTGAAGAAAATAGTGTTGGACTTCATTCAAACCATTAAAGGAAGACCATGAAACAACGTTTGCACCCTACTACTTCAAACATCATGGGCGTAGGAACATCACGAGAAGTGGGGGGGGAGGGGCAGCGAAACTTTGATATCACTTTGTGGGAGCCCCAATACCCCTATGAAGAAATTCTGGTAGTCGTAAAGCAGGCGTCACACTTCTTTTTGCAACCAAGGAGAGGCGCTATACCCAGAGATGCTTTCTAATCGAACCAAACCAAATCAAACCGAAGTCCTAACCAAACCTGACCTAACCTTAACTACAACCTACAACCTAAAACTTACCACCTAAAACCTACAACCTAACCTACAGCGCCTCTTCTTGGTTGCAAAAAGAAGTGTGACGCCTGCTTTACTGCTACCGAAATTCTTTGCATTGTTGTGCTCATCTAACCTTGCTGAACCATTTCCTGCTCTTAGTTTTGGATTTAAATAAAAAATAAAGATTTTACTTAGAAAAAATGGCTGAAAAGTGTGGGGCCATGGCCCCCCGCCCCCCCTGTTCCTACGCCTATGTCAAACATTGTCCTTACGGCCTACACCCTAGCTCCTAACGGGCAACTGCACCCAAGATTCCTTTACTACTCACTGCACCTGCGGCGCAAACCTGCTGCTGCCATATCATACAGCCTTGATGTGTGGTCATAGCATATTATGGAATTGTAGAGCAATACAGGCATGACCTTACAATACCTACATTCCGATGCCCTAAATCACAATATTTCACAATGCACAGCCCACTGACCACTCCATCCCACTAGGCATACAGGTACATCGGGGGCGCTATCCCCGCGATTTTTCGATTGCCACAATTGCCGCATCCACATTCGAAGGCAGAACAACTTGTTTCCTTTGAACCAATGACGTCATTCGAGTTAGCCAATTACTGCAAACCTTCTTGGTTGGTAGCACTCCCGTTGCAAAATGCTAGCCAATCAAATCAAAATGTTTACTATGACATTGGGCCTGGCAACAATATAAATCTAAATTACTCGCACTATCAACTTATTAAAAACGTACTCAGCCAAACTGGCATACGTTCATGACGTAGTATCGAAGCATTGTGGTATTTTATCGAAAACAATTTTGCGGGGGCAAAAAGATATGTTTGCCCCCCCACCCTGGGAGATGGGGGGGCGCCGTGCCCCCGCTGCCCCCCCCGCTTCCGCCGCCACTGGACTCCGCTCGCTTCGCTCGCTCCGTAACCATTCGATGCGCGCGGAATTCGTGAGTTCACTGAATTTTTTCTCTATCGTTGAAATATATCAAAAAATATAAGCGATTTTTTACGTGTTTTCGCGAAATGTTTAGACCTGTACCCCCCCCTAAATATTGACCTAGTCACCAAATCTGCACAGGATCGAGATTTCCTATGGTCTATCTACCCTGTAAATTTGGTGTTTTTAAGTGTCATACGAGCCAATCGCCAGTACCAACCTTCCCCCTCGCCGTCCGTGTTATGAAATAGGCCCTCGCCTGGCGAGGGTCAAATATCATTCAACGGATTGAGACGTACCCACTGCAATGGACACATAGCCCGCGCCCCGTAGGGCTACCGGCGGACCCTACCACCCGTAGGGGGGGGGCCGTTTCGGCCCCCCCCCCTAAGATCTCGGAAAGTTACCGGCCGATTTTCAAAATTCAAACGGCGTTTGATAGCCCTACCCGGGAACTACCTTGTGACCAAATTTCATTGACCTAGGTCAAACCGATGACGTCACAGGTCAGGTCAAAGGTCAGATTTTCACCGTTCACAGGCAATTCAAGAAATGTGCTGTGAAATCGAGTAAATTGGTAATTTATTGAAAACCATCGATGGTATATTGTTCGTCAAACACATACTTTGCTATCTGAGGTCACTGATACCAGGTCAGGTCACAGCGAGGTCAGGTCACCGGGGGTCACAATATGAATGTGTCGTGTGATACATGTTTTATGGTCCATTTTACATGACAAATGCGATTATGTGGGTTAGGCAGCCTTTGGGGCCAGCCTAGGTCACGTTTTGGTGAAGGTCAGGTCAAGGTCAGGTCAAATTAGGTCAAATTTCAAAGTTGATATTTTTGCATAAAATGGGTATCCATTCGATGCAGCTCGTCACGGGGAGTCTAATGGTGGTCTTTGTTTTGCTCTACGAAATCTAGAATTGCCAAAAATTGAGTTTGAAAATTTGACGTCATCATTTTTGAACAGTTTTTTCGCTATAACTTGGCCAAAAAACGAGGTATCGATCTGAAATTTGGTATGTAGATAGAAGACGGTAGGTACTATCACATATATGCCGGTTTTTTCGAAACTCAAAAAACTTTTTTGGATTTTTTGGCTAATATATCCAAAAAAATGCTTTTTTGATTTTTGGGGATCAAAACTCAAAAATTTCAAAAATCCGAGATAGCAGTTTTGTAGCCCTGTCAATTCTACACCTTTTATGTCCAATCATTTTTCTGTATCTTCAAAGCTGTAGGCCTGACAGGTCTTCTCGCGAAGGTCTTTTTTCGGTCGAAAATGACAGAACATGACGTCACTCTGACGTCATTTGTGGCCAACCTATCACAGCCTCTTGAAAAAAATTTTGGTCACAATGTGTAAAATTGATGCCTGGAGGGGTCCTGAAAGTTTGGTGGCGATATCTCCAGCCGTTTAGGAGATATCGACCGAAAAGGACAGGGGGGGCCGTTTCGGACCCCCCTACGGGGCGCGGGTTTTAAAGCGGAAATGGAACGCCAGGTGTATAGTCGACTACAGAATGATGTTCCACTCCTCAGAAGCTATCAGTTGACCGCGGAGCGCTGAGTTATGCCGTTTATCACGCAATTAAGCGTGTCGATTGTGAGCATTGGGACAAAGCTATAATTTATAAACTCAGCCCGTGTGATGCGGCACAACCTACTCCAGGCAAATTATTGCCTGTGAGAAGTGGAACTATACATGCTTACCTGTAGTCGACTATACATGCTTACAGGCAATCTCAGAGAACACCTTTCCTCAGGCCTTTGACACGCTCCGTCCTTTGTCCATCTTTGACGCCTTCCTAGGCAAAATAGACTCTAAAATATGTTGTTTCTCCCACAAATGTTATATTCCTCTGTTGTTAAAAAATATAATTCTAAGCACATCACTGCAGCTTTGCTCAAAATAAGTGGGTGTGTGGGTATGGATTGCATTAACTATGAATCCATTTGCATACTTTTCGGAGAATATGATTGCGTATAGGTATATCTATCGAAATCCGGCATACAAAAAGATATGATAGTGTCCATGAATGTACCTATACTGTAATAATGTGTTTGCAGCCAAGGAAACTGGGCCACATTATCTAGTTTTTATGGTTTGGACCCAAGCCCATTCCATAAAAGGAGGAAGATGGGCCGAATTGCCGCCAATGCAAGCACCACCAGGAAATAATCCATAAAAGTGGATCTGCAAAAGTGCTGGGCCGCCGCCCCTGCGCCCAACCTCAAACCAGAAAATCGTCCATTCCGATTGTGTGATAGCGTATCGACGGTGATATTTTGGTCGCGTCGCACTGTTCTTTTTCTCTCGGTGCGATAGCGGTCGCGCTGTCGGCGCCATGCCGGAGGCCGGCTCGCGGTGCCGAGAACACTTCTGAGGGACGCTCGCTCTCTCGGGCGGACACTGATCGCCAGTGTCCGCCGCTCCAACACTGACAGAGCTGTCCCCACGGCGGGGCGCAGCACGACCCAGGAAACGACACTTCCGAGCCGGCAGCGCGGCTGGCGTGGGGCTGGCGTGTTTGTTTCCGCCCCGCCCTCTCACCGACTCTCACTTTTCGCAGAAACCGAGGAAAACCAGGCGAAAAAGTATCTGTCCGGCGAGCGATGCCAATCGGCGGGCGCGGGGCGTGCCCCTCAGTGTGAGATAGGTCACGCGTGTGTGGCGGGCCGGCGTCGGACGGACGCCCGGCGCCGGGTCTCCGGTGCTGCCGGCCCTCGTCGGTCAGGGGGCGGCGGGCCGACTAATTGCCGAGCGCGCGGCGCGCCCGCCACTTCCCGGAGCGCACTCCGACAGCGGCGGCACTTTACCGGCGCGGCGATCAGATGGCGCCGGTGGGAACTTTCCGGGGTGCACGGCGCGGTGCTGGCCGGCGCAGCGGCCGCCGTCTCGCCGCGCTGGGAACAGGTTTGGCCGCGCCGTGCCGAACGCGCCGCGCTCCCCGCCAGCGCCACTCGCGCTGCCGGTGCCCGATCGGTGAGCGGCCCAGCCTCGGCGCCGCGCACACCTCCAGCCGCCGCGGCCGACACGAGCGCGTCGTTGGCGACGTTGCGTGTGTGTTTGTGTGGTGTCTGTGTGTGCGGGCTGCCGGGTGTGGACGGGGCACTGCGGAGCGCGCCGGCCGCACGCAGCAGCCACGGTGGAGGGTGAGCCCGTGAGCCGGGTGCCGGCCGCCGCCGGCTGGCCGCCGTCGCACCACCACCAGCTGGCTGACCTGGAGCTGGACACCACCGACGGCCCCGAGGGCAAGGTCGCCACCCCGGAAAAACGGTAAGTGTGCCCGGCTGGCGGGGTGCGCCGCCCCGCCCCCCGCCCCCGCCGCCGCCCCGACCCCCGCCCCGCCCCGCTGCCGGTCTGGCCGTGTTTGCCGACCGCAGAGATTCACCTGTCCTGACCGGTCAGAAGACACACCTGTCCTGACCGGTCAGAGGACACACCTGCCCTGACCGGTCAGAGGACACACCTGCCCTGACCGGTCAGAGGACACACCTGTCCTGACCAGTCAGCCGGTCAGAGGACACACCTGTCGCTGTCCTGAACCACGGCAGAATGCAGGCGGTCCAGGACAGGTGGCGTCTAATATGTTGTATTTGTTTGTTGGCCTATTAGGACCATTTGAGGCCTGTGGGGTGGGATGGGGAAAAGGCGGAAACATTGAGCTAATGCGACCATCTGGAGCGCAGCAGCGGTTGGGCTGGTCTCTTCGGACCGAGTGGGTCCTGATGCGACAGGCCGCGAGAGCTGCTCAAACCAAAGGACAGGCTCCTATACTGGAACTACCACCCAACTGCTCAAACTGAAGGACAGGCTCCCATTGGAAATGCCCTCCGTAGTTGCTGGTTGGGCTGACTATACCAACTCCGCGATGATTGTATAATGTATGAAGTGCATCCGCCTTTATCATCAAAGGCTATCATCTTAGCCTTTGAAATAATAGTGTTAAATTATCTTCATTTTTACTGTGAGTGACAGATTGCTGCTGTTTTTTTTTTTTTTTTAGCTCTGTCGGTTCAAGCGTAGGCTTTAAAGTAGTACGATGCTGGTCTGGCCTGAAATGAAGCGAAACGCTCGCGTGTGTGCCACGCACCCATCTTCATTGTTTACACGGGTGACAATACTATAGGGCATCGCCAGAGACCAAAGCTTTGCTGCTTTCACTCATAAATGCGGAAAAAGAAAAGAGAGCAAGATGCCAAAAATGAGAAATTGAAATACGAAATAAAACTGAGAAATGAAGAAAGGAAATAAAGAGACGGAATATGCATACAAAAAAATATAAGCTGTTTGGGAATTAATACGCGACCTATCAATTACAATAGCAATACTTAGCACACAGTCAGCTTTTTTAGTTACTTAGTTGTGATGCAAGTAGCCCTGTCCTGGCTTGGACATGTGTCTTTGCAGTCCCCCCCCCTCCCCCTCTCCCCCCATACACACACGACCGTCATCTAATTTCATCAGAATGAAGCGACGATGATAAACATCGAACCGTGCAAGGTCAAAAATGGCCTAGGAAATAGCATACAATAGGTATTGCGTTTCCTCATATTCCGTCTATAAAAACTCTCGCCTGCGGAAAGGTCGTTGCGTATTTATTCTTCAACTAAAAACAATATGCGATTCGTTAAAGGACCTGGCGTATACTGTTAATATATGCTTTTCTCGCTGGGCGAGCATCATTCCCTGCTGGCCATAACCTGCATTAGGCCGACACCGACTCGGCGTATGTACCTGAGGAGTCCGCTATCGCAGACACATAACCAACTAATAGGGAAGTGCAGATCTAGGTAACCATAAATCGTCGACCACAACGAACTGTGGGCTGTCTTTATGGCTGCCTGAGACGCACAATTAGCAGCGGCATTCGACAATCGGTGACCACAAGACACAGACGTACGTTAGAGCTGGTATGCGATATTCAGTATGGTTGCATTACGGCAGCAATATGGGTCGTTAAGAATGCTTGCAGTAGAGTCGATTGTCTTACCATTACTTAGCCACAGTCATGTACTCGTATCCAAGGCAGGGGCACCAACTTGGGGCGGGGGGGGGGGGGTCGCGGAGGTCTGGACTAGAGATGTAAATCGGATACCAACTTTTTGCTATACCGATACCAAACCGATACCGACTTGGCAATCTATTGTGCTTGGTATTTTGTTGGTATTAGCCGTTTTCACGACGGGATATCCGGCAAGTGCACCTAATTTGACCAAATATGCACCTAATCTCTTTTACAGCAACTATCTTTATTTTATGAATTTATTTCAGTGTTTTAATCGATGATGCTCTCTGATAATAAAACAAAGCATGCATATAAGCAATTAGTACAACCCTAGCTGATAGCTACTAAGAGACACTGGACCTAATTTGACCAAATCTGCATCTAATCTGCACCAGATGTGCACCGAATGTGTATCAGATGGCCGTCGTGAAAACGGCTTTTATGAATCATCGCTAATGTATGTAGGCATATGGCTGCTAATGTATGGATTTGGTAAACAGTTGTGGATTTGGTAAAAAGTTGATATCTCCCTCACATTCACTAGTTGGCTCGATTTCGATATTTTGCGATGGTTTTGTTTGGCATTTGGTTTGGTATCGGTATTCCGTTTTTTTCTGTAACTGACATCACTGGTCTGGACACCCCATAATAATGTCATTTCCGTAACGCCACCCCTGGTGTAAGGTGATGCATTTTTGGGTCTGATATTTTGACGCGAATCAAACATTTGAGGTATATGATGATAGGTACCTATATGATGCTTATCAATCACTGCCTGGCTAAATATGAACATTGCGGTTTCTTACGTGCTGAAAGTCACTTTTACGTAATAAAATATCTATCATAGTAAACCGGTACAATTTGGCATTTTTTACCTTCCTGTGACGTCATAGGTCCAATAAAATGGCCAAGGAGGTTTCTGTGGCTGTACAATTACATGCATGACATGTCTTCACAAAGACTTAAGATTCACTCACAATTCAGCATGCCGTCCATACGATTCACGCAAGGGTCTTCTGATTGGTCGAGGCTGAACTCTCTTGTCGGGTCACAGGCAGGGATGCGGAGCCGGAGCCGGAGCCGGAGCCGGAGCCGCCGGAGCCGGCATATTTTGCCCGGAGCCGGAGCCGGAGCCGGAGCCGTGAAACAATATAGCCCGGAGCCGGAGCCGGAGCCGGAGCCGTCAAAAAAGGGGGCGACTCCGGCTCCTTTTCTTAAGAGGAAACAATTATTTACCTAGTTCGGTTTGACAGTACAAGGCGTAAAACAATGTGGTATTCAAAACAGCCTTGTTATACAAATACAGAAGCAACGTGTACCAATCGGCCATCGCCTTTTTTCTTCCACCCGTATTAGGGGATGTACTGAGTAGAAGCCGGAGTCGGAGCCGCCGGAGCCGGAGCCGCCGGAGCCGGATCATTTTACTCGGAGCCGGAGCCGGAGCCGGAGCCGCCATGACATTTCACCCGGAGCCGGAGCCGGAGCTGGAGCCGATTTTTTTTCTCCGGAGCCGGAGCCGGAGCCGGAGCCGTCTGAAATTTCCACGGCTCCGCATCCCTGGTCACAGGTCATCATCCGTTCAGATGACTATCCACATGTCAGGTCTATGACATACAATATACATCATATCCACACCCATTTTAGACACATATATTTCTTTTTTATGACCGGCTTGTCCTTTTAAATTGGACAGATTTGACCTTGTTTGACCATCCTGTGACGACAATGGTCAAATGTCGAGGGCACCGATATCGTATCTTATGCATCTTGATGAGTTCTTTCGAATGCTGTTTGATTGTTTCGGGTCCGACTGTTTGTTTCGGAGATACGATGGGGACCTTTGCCCCCACCCCCACCCCTCCTCCACCCCGCACCCCCAACAGGACCTGGAACCTGCCAGACCTCAACTGGGTGCGGGTCAAGATAAATTTTTCACTTTTTATTTTACCGACAAAAGCATTTGCGTGGATGGCTGCTTAATATCTTACATTTTTCACCTTCGTATAGAAATTGATGCTACTGAATATAGATTTTTTCGCCCTTTTTTATCTGATCGACGATTTTCCACTCTCATCACCCTTTTTTAGATATTTTCCTTCCGACACCCAAGCCAAAAATATATTATGGAGCACTGCAAGACCTTTGTAAGAAACAATTGCTACAAAAGCTGAAAACCTATTGTAAAACAACTATGCGCCTACTTCTTCTTCTAGGTTTAGGCCTAGTTGCGCCTAAGTTGACCAGGATTCGCCAAATTTGTCAAGCGTGCGCCAGTTAGGTAAACGTCGTGAAAACGGCTAATCAAACTTATTTCATTGATCAAAATTGTTCGAAGTTTAATTGAAAATAAAGACCTGTGATCATCTGTGATCATGGGCACCTGTAATCCGGATCAGTAAAATGGATTAGCCAACCCAAGGTATATAGGTAATTAGATCATGGATGAGATGCTATATGAAAATGCAAATAAGGGATTAAGTGATTGTGTAAAGCTAATGCTCATCAAGGTTTAGCTTGTAACGAACAGCTTGATATAAATGATAAGATTTGAATTGGGTAATCCTGGTCACGTACAAGTCACGAGTGCCCATGTTTTCGTGATCATATTTGATAATTTGATAAATCAGGTAAATAAGCAAAAATTGATACCAAAGACGAAAAACTGAGCCTACTTAAAAACAACTGCAGCCCTTCTCATGATGGAACATTGGAAACCCATTTGATCAGCCCTTTTCATGACGGAACATGGGTGTCCAATTTGACTGAACTGAAAAGGAAAGAAGCAAGCAAAGCGAACACTCAGAGAAATATTTACCCTAAAAATATGGGTATTTCACGAGTACCAAATCGGTACTATATTTACGGGTCCTTTAACGCCGAGAAAACGTTTATATCTACTCAGTCAGTGTTAGACTACCTAAACTGATTGTATCACATGACCTGCTTTATTGTATACATACCAGTTATTCTTAGCTATCTTTACCTAAAAAATCCGGGTTTTTCACGAGTACCAAATCGGTACTAGTTTTACGGGTTATCCTACCTCCAGAAAACGAGTATCAATACCCTTCATTGTTTCGCATGAACTATTATTACGTACAAATACCAGTGATTCTAGGGTATTACTAGCCACAAAATCCGGGTATTTTTGGAGTACCAAATCGGTACTACATTTACGGGTTATCCTACGCCGAGAAAACAGGTAGCTAACCTTTTTGCGTCAAAATACCGAATTTATTTGTGTCACATGATCTTCTCACACGTATACGTACCGAATTTGTTTGTGTCACATAACCTGCTCACACGTATACGTACCAGTGATTCTTTGGTATTGTTACCTTTAAAGCCTTAAACTTATCCGAAAGTTATAAGGTACTTTAACACCATGCTTTATTTGTGCTACACTTGTCGCAGTTTGCTATAAATAGAACAAAACAATGATATGTAAAACGGAGTTCGCTTGTTTATTGGGTTCCAACGAGATGGACAGAACCGGATGAAGTTCATCGATTTAATTAGGAAACATGTCATGACAAACAAATAATCAGATTTTTCGCACGATGTGGACGCAGTCCCTTCCCGCCTACGGCTGTCGTCAGCTGGCGGTCAACCGACCGGTGAGCATTGCCCCGTCCCGTAATGCAAGGTCTATACTCCCATTCGTACCTGTAACACCGCGTACGACACTCCACTTTTATGGCGCAATGCGCGATATCCGACGGCCCTGGCAGTTAGCTTGTTCGGTCGTCGATCCCCATGTTTGTCGGCCGGTTCAGGTTGTCCTGACGCTGGCCGACACTCAGCGTTGCAGTCAGCCAGGATCTGGCCTGGCCTCTGGATCCCAGTGCTGTTCCTTGACCGCGTTTCTTGACATCCCAGCCCAGTGCTGTTTCTTGTTGGCTTGAAGGCTTGGTGCCCTTGCACAACACGATCCACCACCACACTCGCCCGGGAAAGAAAGTCACGTAGCTCACTTCCACAATAAACCACGTGAAACGCGAATAGCACTCGCCGTGCGGCTCCCAGCCTCTACACACACCCACCACGCCGGCGACGGCGGTTCAAACTGGCTCATACTGAAAGCGTGCGCGCCAAATACAAAACGCGGAACGATGATTGGTGGAGAGGAACACCCTTCTGCGCATGCGCGACCTAGGCCACGCCCCCTGTTAAAATAACTCACAAAAGGTAAATCTACCTTTAAAAAATAAGGAGTCAGAAAACCACATTTAAGTACTTACATATACACCCTTACGAGTTGATGCATGTTACAGATACCTGTTTTTCAATAACAAGTAGTAGAAAAACATGCTGGTAGAGTAGCCCTACACCACCGATTCTGGTTTGTTAGGTAGAGGTACCCTCTCTTGCGGGTAATGGTACCCGAATCTGAATGGTACTATAAACCCATATCAGGTATAGGGGAGAGTGGGGCAATGGCGACACCATAAGCATTTTGCTCAATAGCTTAGCTATTTGAAGCTATTTTATGGTGATTTTGACTGTGGTTATAGCCAAAGGAATAGGCTTTCAGATAACACCCAGTTTTAGTATCTCAGATCACTGATGACAGATTCAGAGCCTACGCGAAAATGTGGTGAAAAATGGAGGTGCAAAAAAGCGAGGGGTAATGCCGGCCACTAAGTGCAATAGCACAAAAAGTCGAAATATCGTCACTGGTATTCATCCTTAAACCGTTCTTTCGATGGAAATTTAAGTGAGGATTAAGAAACGACAACTGTTACTGAAAAGTTAACAGTGCACTGCACTGCAACACAACATTGCACTCGCTGCAACACAACAGCGCGGCGCCAACAGAGCAGCAAACTAACACAACCGTAAACAGCAAGCAAACTAACACAGCCGTAAACACAGCAACCCGAAACGTTGAGCTTTAACGACAAAAGTCGCAAACAAAACCGTGTGGAGTCATTCCGGACACGTGTCCGGTATTACCCCCGAGGTCAGCTTTATTTTAAGAAAGCAGGCAGCAGTCAAAGGCATTGCGTCGCTGACGCCTCACATCCAGCAGTCGCCTAAGAAAGGCTTAATTGAAGGTCATTGCAAAGCAGCACTTCTGAAAATGCGTTAACACATTTCACAGTCAGCAAATAGATGCAACAAAAATTAAAAATCAGATACGAAAAACACATTTAACGCTATAAAAATGAAAATAATGGAGCTACCGTGACAAACTTGCACCACGTGCTAGAATGTCGCTCAACTGAAATGTAAACAACATCAGCTGATTAGTGATGGACAAAGTACCCACTAGAGATGGGTGGCCGGCATTACCCACCGTCCGCCATTGCCCCGCTCTCCCCTATACATTTGCTACAATGTGTGTAAAAAGAACCATAGGTGTACGGGGACCCAAAATAAATGGTGTATAATTATTTCTGTCCGAGTTTTAATATCCGGAGAAATCGGGATACCGGTACCCATAAGTGTAAAATTACCCGTAGAGGAGTAAATTTTTCTCTGTGTGAACGACATTTTATTCGAAACTTCAGAACCCTATCAGCAAGCAGCTAGTAAAATGTATCATGTCCCAAAGGAACCAAAGGGATCAAGAAATAGTTACAGTTGCGAAATGTAGTTCATAGTTGACCAATGACCCGTCGTGAAAATGGCTACGGTTTACCCACATTGTCTTTGTGTATCTATTCGGGGTGTTCGATAGGCGGTTAGTTATCCAGCACGTTTGTCTGTTTACAACTGGTCATCGAGCCGAGCCGATCGCCGACGATCAGTCGGTGCTGGGATTATCGGGCTGGTCTCCGGGCCGCCGCCGGCCGGATGTGGACACTGGACAGTCGTCTGGTCAAACGCGACTGACTCGCCAATAACGGGCCGCGCTGGGTCTCACGTTGTTTGCCGCCCGTCCGCCTCGCTGCACCCAGTCCTAATCTTTATGCCTGGCGTCCAAATCAATATCTGGCCGCCGGCAGTGTGTTGCCAGCATGCAAGATGCTAGTGACTGTCCGGCGCCAATCTGGGCGCAGCACGCCATCGCCGCAGCCTTGAATGATTTGCGTTCGCCTAATGTCTTTACGCCGATTCCTGGCGTGGTCCAGCGATGCCGGCCACTTTTACTGCAGCGCAGCTTCATTCGCATAAATGCATTCGTGCCGCTCGCATGCCTTCTCTGTTTGTTATCGGCTGTTATGTATGCCAATCGGAGGGTCGGGCCGCCATTCACCGCGTCCGGCCTTGGCGCTGGCCGCCGGACCGGACCACCCGACCACCGGACCGAGTCAGCGGACCGAGTCACCGGACCGGACCACCGGACCGGACCACCGGACCGAGTCACCGGTCCGAGTCACCGGACCGAGTCACCAGACTGGGTCGGGTCGGGTCGGGGTGGTCCTTGCCACGACTGATGAGCAGCCTGCTCTGGCGGGAGGCCGTTTCCCGTTATCCCACCAGCTATCCCTCCGACCTGACCAGCACCGCTGCGGAAGCACTGGTCCTCCTGTGGGGGTGCCGGCGCCCCCGGCAGCTGATGGGGCTCCCGGTCCTACGCGGCGCGTTCCCGGCTGATGCTGGGGCTCCTCGGTCCTCCTATAAAGGCGCCGCGCAGGGCGCGTCCGGCTGCTGACCCGCCCTCATACATATGTACGGCCACAAGTGCAGCTGAAACGGGGGAGGCCGCCGAGTCAGAGCACAAATGCAAAGTATCGCAACTATTCGTCGAGCATCAGAGCGCGCAGCGTGCTTGACATAGGTGGGCTGGCGCTGTTTTCGGCCGCGCGCAGCTGGACGGGGATGTCGGCGCGCGGTTGGCATTGTCTGCCCGGCAGAGACCGGCCGGCGCTCCGGCAGCGCCAGCGGGAATCGGCCGGCCGCCCCAGATGCCTTCTGTGATACCTACCCCACATGCCAGCTGAACATTATGTAAGTCCCATTTCTGTCATTACTTTGTGAAGCTACCTATGTACATATATGAGCTAGCTACTTATGCACTTATGTTTCCATTTGAACAATAAAGCACTTCATGTCTTTTGTCGATTCTTAAACTGCGACCCGCTGGGAGAGGGGGCGGGGGTAGAATCTGCATCCCTCCCCCAGTCCAGTGTTTCGCCAATATCTTCTAAACGTTTTAAGGACCTCAGCTCGGAACTAGGACTGTAATATCCCTGACTAGAGTGGTGGAGTGGTAGAGAGGTGCTGTACAGCCTTCTTGGTGTTATTATATAGTAGTTATATACGGCATGCA